TGTTGGGACATCTATCTTTAGCCTATAGGTCTCCAATATCTGACAAACTTTTCTGTGAAGCAGGAATTTTGAAGGACGATCCTAGCTTGTCTTGGCAAAGTTTGGCAGACATGTTCTTTTGTGTCCTGCTTGTCCAGTTTGGACAGCATGCTGTCAGGAGTTGAGGCAAGGGTAGTTTCTTTGCTTAGTGGCTGACTCCATATGGAGGTTCTTCAATGCCCATCATCCTTTTTTTAAAAAAGTAAATTGGTGTTGCAGACATATCTCATTATCATAAAAGCCTTATGTTATTGAAACATTTTAAATGCCACATTCTGTAGGTCTTTGAAATGTTTGGAGATCACCTATCTAAAATATATCTTTGTATGACTTTGAAAATATACCTAACATGACTATAAGTTTGATTGTTATAGATGATTAACTATTAATCTGTGTTTCTTTATTATCCTAAATACCTTTCTTTTTTTTAAAAGATTTTATTTATTATGTATACACATTCTGCTTCCATGCATATCTGCACATCAGAAGAGGGCACCAGATCTCATAACGGATGGTTGTGAGCCACCATGTGGTTGCTGAATTGAACTCAGGACCTCTGGAAGAGCAGTCAGTGCTCTTAGCCTCTGAGCCATCTCTCCAGCCCCCTAAATACCTTTCAAGGACTAAAACTACATTACATTTTTAAATGAGCTGTAAAAGTACAATATCTTTTTTTGTTTTGTTTTGTTTTTCAAGACAGGGTTTCTTTGTGTAGTGCTGGCTGTCCTGGAACTCACTCTGTAGACCAGACTGGGCTTGAACTCACAGAGATTCACCTGCCTCTACCTCCGAGTCCTGGGATTAAAGGTGTGCACCACCATGCCCCGATATTATTTATTTTTAAAGACTTTATCTTGGGGACTGGAGAGATGTCTCAGAGATTAGGAGCACTTCCTGCTCTTCCAGAGATCCTGAGTTCAATTCCCAGCAACCACATGATGGCTCACAACCATCTGTAATGAGATCTGGTGTCCCCTTCTGGCCTGCGGGGATACATGCAAGCAGAACACTATTCATAATAAATAAATCTTTAAAAAAAAGATTTTATCTTGTTATTTATACACTATTTTTTATATGACTGACTATATCAATTTTCTTTAGTTTTAAGCCTATGAACATGTTTTAAGCCCACTGTAACCTGTTTAGAGGTTTTTTTCTGTCTGGGTCTGTCTTTACAGAGCATTTGTAGCATTCTCTGATTGTGTGAGACAAATCTTAAACTGCTCTGTCAGATGTCTTCAAAGCTCAGCTTAGCGCATGGCACTGGCAGCTGGCTCAAACCCATGGGTAGCAACGGTAACTGTGCCTCTATATACCACTAGGCACTGGCTAACCTGAGAAACTGTAGGGTTAGGAAACTACATCTGGCTCTTTGTCCAGAACTTTTCTTAGCTATCTGAGGCCCTATGTTTGGATATTCCAGTCCCTCATTGGGCACCATATGTAGACAGGTTTTCCTTTGGGTTGCCAGCTCACAAAAAAAAATGACATGGAGACTTATTATTAATTATGAGAACTAAGCATAGGCTTGTCCCACTAGCTCTTATAATTTAAATTAACCCATTCCTATTCATTCACATGTTGGCAGTTCCTCACTTCCTGCATGTCTTGCTCTCTCTAAGTGTTCAGCTGATGACCCACCCTTCTTCTTCTTCTTCTTCTTCTTCTTCTTCTTCTTCTTCTTCTTCTTCTTCTTCTTCTTCTTCTTCTTCTTC